CTTAACCCTATCCGTACGTCGTGTTTTACTATCGTATCCATACGACGTGGGGAACTCTGTGCCACCACTTAACCCTATCCGTACGTCGTGTTTTACTATCGTATCCATACGACGTTGGGAACTCTGTGCCACCACTTAACCCTATCCGTACGTCGTGTTTTACTATCGTATCCATACGACGCGCGGAACTCTGTGCCGCAACTTTCCAAAGAGGAAATTTACTCGTTAATCCGATCCGTACGCTTTGCATAGCAGTCTGTCAAAAATATTTTTTTGAGAAATACTGAAAGTTTCAAAGAGATCTTCGTACTAGAAGCATCCTAAAACGAGAAGAATACAACCCCGGGGGTATAAAAATGGCCCCAGGGCGTACGGATAGAGTGAATGTTTCCCTGACTCCATATATTTCTCAATCGCCCTCTAGCCTTGTTGCCATCGAATTATTTTATGTAGACACGTTGTACTGGGTGGTGTGTTAGTAGATCTAATCGCATGAGATGTCCGAACCATTTGATTGTTTGGTGGTGGATTGCGTTAATCAAAAACACGGAAGGACAATCATTAATTGTGTTACATGTACGACGTGGTGGAATCAGGCGCTCGTCAAGTTTTTGTTAGGCCTATTTGTATTTGGAGTTACTGGTATCATCCGAAAGCTGTTCCATTTGTCTTGCTTCTAATGAAATAAATTATATCCATCTATCTTGAGTAGAAGTCAACGTATTTCTGATTGATGAAGGAAATGAGTTTACCAGGTTTCAGAGGTGAAATTAGCGAGAAAATCGCCGCCAAAGTTAGGTAAAGAGCCCTTCAAAACTGAAACATGACATACAGTATTTTGTGCCTTTAATCAACGTTTTTCAGTAAAATTCACAATGAAATGCTTTTTATATGGACATAAAAGAGATTAGACCTAAGCCAAAAATTAAAAATTCAATAAAAATGTCGAAACTGTAGAAAAAAGCCTCTCTTCTTTCGTTATTTTGGCGAGTGCCTGATTTCTCCACGCTGCCTCACATTTACATTCGGTAAAGTCTTTGAGTGTCACTGGGAACTGTATCAGGAAATAATTCGACTACATTAAATATCTTGTGACTTCCCCATTCAGGAAATACAACAAAGTGCATGATATAAACTACCGGTATAATAAACAAAGTGCACGTGATATAAACTATAATAAACCCAAACAAGGAAAACAAGCTTGAAAAAGAAATAATTTATAAAAAAATTAATTGAGATTTCAAGTACAATTATTTGAATCACAGACCGAATTGCATATTTATGCATGTACCAGAAGTGAAGCGAAAGACAACAACAGAAACAAAGGAAAGGAAATTTAAAACAAAACATTATAAAACAACATGATATTTAAAAATAAATAAATAAAAAATAACAAGACCCAAAAAACTTAACTCAGCAAAACACTTCGCCAAACCGGAAGTACAAAATAGTTGTCGACCACTTGGGCAAAAAATGGTTTAGTGGGTGTTTTTGTTTTTTTGTGTTTTTCATGCAGAACTAGGCCTAGAAAAGTGTTTTTCTGTTCAAGGGTCCACTTTTTCAAGTGCGTGCCTTTTTTGGCTGGAGATGTGTGTGTGTGTGTGTGTGT